TCCTCACAACACACACACACACCTGCTGCGTCAGTGCCAAGGCTGGATCCTTGCAGGGCACTTGGCAGCCTGACTCTACCGTGCCTAGACCAGGCTTGTTTCTAGGGAAACACCCGGGATGTTGAACTCCACAGATCAGTCACCCAAAAGCAAACAGTGCGTGGTACGTGGCCTATGGGAGCAGCCACCCCATGGCACGGGCCAGGCACGCCCTACACACACCTGCTGCGTCAGTGCCAAGGCTGGATCCTTGCAGGGCACTTGGCAGCCTGACTCTACCGTGCCTAGACCAGGCTTGTTTCTAGGGAAACACCCGGGATGTTGAACTCCACAGATCAGTCACCCAAAAGCAAACAGTGCGTGGTACGTGGCCTATGGGAGCAGCCACCCCATGGCACGGGCCAGGCACGCCCTTCCGAGGGGCTGGAGCTGCAGGGGTCCCAACCAAGCCCAGGGGCCCGTGAATGCCAGGCCCTGCATGGACACCCGAGTGAGATCAGGCCCCTTGCACCTGGCCCAGCACAAACCCCCGAGACAGGGGGCCCCCTTGTACTCGGCCCAGCACAGGCAGAGCAAGAGCCGGGTCCAGCCCTGAAAGCCTGACCCCCAACAGGGCAGCAGCCAGGCCAGGTGATCAGGGCACCGAGGCCCAGAGAGATTTGGTAATTCAGGGAGGTGCAAAGCTCAGAAATGGCCCCATGTCAGGAGGCAGATGTGGGCACAGCGCCCCCCTCGCGGGGAAAGGCCTCGTGCCCCATTCCCTGCCCCACTGAGCCACCCAGTCTCTGGCACGCAGCTGCAGCAGAGCTGTCACGCCTGGGAGAGGTGCTGCCCGTCACTCCAGATTAGATAGCAGCAGGGTGAGGTGTGCTGAGGTTCCTGGCTCCTGTCCACGGGCAGCTCAGCTGCTAGGGGATCCCCTGGGACTCCTGCCTCTGACACAGATAGGTCATCCAGGGCAGGTTCCCTCCTCTCCCTGTGCCTCTCTCCCCACCCGGCTGCCCCCTGCTGGCAGCCTGCCCTCCTCTGTGTCCAGCTCCTGGCACACCAGTCGGCCAGAGCCAGGGGCCCGGAGCAGGACACTCCCACAGTGGCTCCCAGGGGTGCCCCAGAGGGAAGAGCCAGTGACCATGGCATGCTCCCTGCCACCCCACGCCCTGGCTGGCCTCTCCGGGCACATCGCACACACCAACGGTCCTGGGACAGCAGGCAGGAGAGTCTGCACAGCAGGGCCCCAGGCCAGGGACGGGGCTTGGATCCCCCACAGCCCTGAGCCCCTGCCCAGCTGGCAGGGTCCTGCTGGGGGAATTGGCACCCATGCCCTGGGCAAGCCCATCAGCAGCTGGCTCTGCGATGCCCCCTGCTGGCTCAAGGCGGGATTCCCTGGCTGGGCCAAGGAGAAAAGTTTCCTGCCCAGCAGGGTTTGCTATATACTGCCGGGCTGCTCCTGCCTCCTGCTGGCTCTGGCTGGCAGTGCAGCATGGAGCCTGCAGCTGAGCCCGGAGGGTGTGGGGCCGGGAGAGAGCCCACAGGCCGAGCGCGCTGCCCCCGAATAGGGTAGCACTCGGCACCCGGGAGCAGCAGATGGGGCTGGCTGGGGGCGAGGGCCTGGCCCAGCGGGGAGGAGGGAGAACAAATGAAACTCGAGAGGGCCAGCGAAGCAGCATTGTTTAATGGGAGCCAAGCCATGCCCCCCGCTGAGGCTGGCCGTGGAGCCGGGCGAGCTCAGCGAAGGCAGCACCAGCACAGGGGGTGGGGCGGGGAGGGTCCAGGAGGGGCACCTCTATGGGGCCTGTGCCCACCCATCAGACGCCCAGGCCTGCGGCACCCCACAGGGGAGCAGTGGCAGCCTGCAGCCCCCTCTCCCGC